TAACCCTTAAATCTTTCTTCTCGGCAACGTCGCTGCCCCAACCCCACGGTGCTGAATGCTGTGGAAAACCAGCCCCTGGGGCTGGACAGAGAACCAAGTGCATACTGAACGAGAGGCCAATTTTTTGGAAGCAGAATGGAGATACGGCAGCCTGGACATTCAGATATTGTAAGGAACCATGAAGTTAATGTGCTGTTGGAGACAGTGACATTTCTAGAAAGATTGAGAAACTGGGCAATCTTAGAAAAAGCAAAGAACCAGGTCCAGCTTGTCAGTTGTCCATCCAGGAAATAGTTGGAGGAGGACTACTTTGACTTGTGGTCCACATGCCCATGAGGCAGCTGGGAAATTTTAGAACGTAGTGGTAATGGTCTTAGTAGCCCTCCTTTTTGATGGCTGCATCACTGTTGTACCCCAATAAACATTTCTCTTCTCCGTCTGCCCATGTCTTTGCCCACTCCCCAGAAGCGCTTTTGCGTCCCTGAAACGCTGGGGCAGGAAGACTCCTGGCTTGCCAACTCTGCCTTACAAGGGAAGAAATGCTGTGTGCCGTTTGCATTGAAAACTCACTTAAATTATAGCACCATGGTGAGTCCAAGAACAAAACAGAGTTTGCTTCTGTTGCTGCCTTGACGCTAAACACGTTCATGTGGGAACAAGCATCATTTGGCTGTGGAGGATAGTATATTTTTAAAGAGCAAATAATGAAATGAGCATCTGTGCATGGGATGTGCATGCCTGGTTAGTCACTGGTTAGTCACTAGGACGTCTTCGGAAATCGAGAGAGGGGATGGGGTGCTGTCATGCTGGGCTGCCAGTTAGGCTGAGTTTGATTGGGGATCTGGTCGTCTTTGGGCAGGATTTGGCCCACGGTCCAAATAAACCATTGTGGTGGTAAGAAAGGGTCAGCTACCCCCTCACCCCTTAAAATTACCCCAGAGAGGGACAGCGACTCGTATATTCCAGCTGCTTCCTGGGCAACTTCAGAAGCAGGATGGCTTGGTGCTGGCAGAGATGAGCATGGTTTCATGCTCCAATCATGCACGCGTGTTCGAGCCAGCAGATCTTTTAATACATAAATACAGAGCAATGCAATGGCTAGCCAGCTAGGTTTAAGGCTGGGCGAGTGACTACTTTAGAAGAAACATTAAACAGCTATTTAGGTAATGCTAGAAAATTTCAACTGGATGAATTAAAAATCTTTCTGTATTCTCTTCATTCAGACAGAGTGGTCACTTAGGTGACCATTTTTTTTGAATTGCTTCTTTGCCGATGGCCATTTGATAGGAATATTTCAACCAAGACTCATTTCAGTGCATTGATACCTTAACCAGCATCTCATTTTCATCTCCTTTCTTGCTGCCATATTATCTTAATAGCGACGCATCGGGACACTTATTTTGTTATCACAATCAATTTCTTCATACTTGGTACTGCTGTCATCATGATAAATTACCTTCCTTTAAATTCTACCCTTATTTCTGGCTCGGATGCTTGGAAACCCATAGCAAAGTCATTACAATTCTAAATTACCCTGAAATACGACACGGAGCATGCCAAGAGTGCTGGAGCTCCAAGCACAGGATCAGCAAGCAGCGCTTTGATGCTCACCCAGAGGAGCTGTCCTTTGGCAGGATTTGACCCATGCGGTAAGCTAGTGACGGACCCTAGGTTAGCAACTCAGGGCTGGCAGAGCTTCTCTTGAGAGGAGGCCGCATTGCTGGGGTGCTGGGTATCAAGGAACAGGGGGTATCCCCAGAGCTGGACAGGATTTCAAATTTGCAAGAAACAAATTGGTTTTCATGGAGGCAGGTGAACACTCAAGGGATAGAAAATGACAGCTTCTCAATGCAGTCTCCCCCTCCGGCCGAAGGGAACTGGATACCCCAAAGCAGAACTTCGAGGCAAATGTGAGAGAGACGGTCATGTCAGGAACTGGTCCTTTTCTGCCCTCTGGCGACACTCGGTGCACACTGCAGCCCGCTGCAGACTGTCATCTCAAAAGAGCATCGCTTAAGGCTCATCCCAACAGTGCTGCCTTTTACCGTGTCATTACACTTTGCTCTCTGCAGCAAAGATTCACGGAGAGGAAAACAAGAGCTGCAACGAAGTGTTGAGAGAATGCAGGTATCCACATCTGATGTAAGACCAACACACACAGCCTATCCTGATCCCTGAATGTATGCAAGGGTTGCTAGATGGGGCTGTGTACATATCACCCTTCTGCTGAGCTGCAGGAAAACGAAGGGTGGACAGATCCCAGCTTTCATAGACAGGGGAAACAAGTTGCTAGTCATCATGGATGAGATCATCAGGATGTAACAAATTTAGAGGTAGACAGATATCATCAATGAACAACAGCAAACCTCCCGTTACCTGTATTGCTTTTTACTCCTCTGCCAAAGCGCACAAAAAATACAAATCATGCATACTTGCTTCATTTGTGTAACATCTGCCTGGTAGTGATCTAGCCTTTCTTGGTATATACAATTGTTAGTCTTTTTTAAAACAGAGAAAACTTATTTTAGCACTTTTTCTGCTTTCTTATCTTGATCCCTGCAATGCCATTTACCATCCCAAAAATTGCAGTGAGATACTGCATTTTAGGCTGCCTCAGAAAATGTGTTATATTGTTGGTTTGCATTTTTACCATTCCTGTAAAATGGCTAGAGAAAATTTTTTAACAAGATGATAAATACAATAAATGTCTCCTTCCTTTATTCTGCCATTGAGAATAAAAGATCTTGCTCCAGAATCGGCTGATAATCCCTGATGGCATGGCTTTGGGAAGGTTTGACTGAGAAATGTCCGTGGCGAGGGACTGAGAATCCTTTGCTTGGACAAGGAAAACCAAGGGATCTTGCAGAAGTGGTCACTGGACTCTTTGAGGCGGCCATGTTAGAAGCTCACGGACACTAACTTCAGGAAAAGGTGAGTAAGGGAGCCCACTCAGGGCTACAAGAAAAGCCCCAGTTCCCTTCCAAGCATGGCTTCTATAGTGTACCAGAATCTCTGTCTAGCTGGATCACCTATGTGGAACTGAGGATCACCACAGGGGAGGAAGCCATCCAGCAGCGCGTGTGGGTCTTTTTATTTATGTCTTAGACCAGCACAAAACAGAACATTGCAAAATACATCTCATTTCCCCAGGAGGACAGGAGGTAAGATATATAGAAAATTCTGAAGCTAGGTTGGGTGCAGATTCTCCAAACACACACCGTGCTGCTTATATAATCCTGCGAATTTACAGAATGTGCGTATCAAGCCAGCCAGCAGCACCTTCCACAACCCGGGGCTCAGACGGACGGAGCCCGACTGGTCTGACACCTGCAATGGCTGCTGAAGGGCTGGACCTGGCATTGCAATTAATAATGAATCAGAAGCCCCCGCCCCCCGAGCTGTGGCTTGCGGAGCTGCATTTGGGCCGTGCTGCTCTCCCTCTCTCAGCGGCTCAACCGGCCCAGAGCTAAGGGGTCAGAGAGTGTTTCTGGGCCTTCTACAGAGCAGAGCCATGGGTGCGGGTGCTCAGGTGGGAAGAGACATGCCCTTCAGCCAGGGCCATCTCTGCCCTGGGACACCACTCCTTACAGGAAACTTGGTGTTCTGGACTACAGTTTCCATAATCCCGGACTATTGGCTGCAATGGCTGGGGCTTACAGGAGTTGCAGTCAAGAACATCTGGAGGACGTTCCATTGATGGTCTCATCCTACAGTATGCATCATTCAACTCTAGAGTTTGCCTTACAAAATAACAAACTTAGATATGTAATTCTACATTTAGGACAGCAATCCCAAAAGGGGTAGCAGATGTTGTACTCAAGCAGCAAGGTGTCTGGATGCACCTAACTGGAAGCACGTTAAGGGAAGCTTTTCAGCAGGTATTCTAATAATGGCCATTAAAATTTAGCTGCCAGCAACGAGTGTAGAAATTTGTCCTTTAATATGAAATGGAAAGCTGAAACCAAAACAACGTGCCAAGATTTCTGGAACAAGCTACTCCGGATTTAACTTCCTCCGCTGGTGGCAAAAACTGACCCATAAAAATAGTTCTGGATACTTGAGCATTATTTGCAAAAACAAACAAGGCTGTAACTCTGCTCCCAGCAGGGTCATGCCAACGGAAGAGATGGATGCCTCGGGGAGCGAGCCCCCTTTGCCGTTCTGGCTCGGCAAGAGACGACGCCATGCAGCAAGCTGACACTCTGCTCTGCGGAAGCCTCGACATATAAATACCAAATTTAGGGAGGGTTGAAAATCAAGGCAGGCACGAGGCCAGCACAGGCAAGATGGCCTGCCGGCTGCCCCGGCCCCTCCCAATTCACCCCAAGAATTCATAAAGCCTACCTCATACCTCTCCCATCATCCTGCTCAGTCACGGTTAGCCAGGCTCCTTTGTCTACTCACAGCATCCTCCTTAAAAAGCTGCCTCGCAAGATGCCAAACGCATACTGTAAAGTAGCAGCTTGCACTCGAGTTATGCAGCAAGGCCGCTGAGAACGGGCAGCGCACGCTCCCGATTCCAGTTCGAGGGTCAGGCCAGCTGCGGGTCCTCCAGGCAGGGCTCTCCTGGGCAGGCGCTTGCATGAAATGCAGGCCTTCTACACGCCAAGCACACGCCCTGCACTAAGCCAGCTCCCCCCGACCACACACACACGAACACAACTTCCTGCCTTCCGTAGAAGTTTGCAGGGAGGCCACTGGAAGCCGGTTTCGCAAGTCACCCAACTTGAGACACAAGCACCCCAATTCGCTGCACGGCACCGGCTTTAGGTGCAGTTTGCCACACGTTCTCCCATCAGAGCTTCCTCCATTCCCCTGGGATTCCTTCAGGCCCTGGATGCGACAGAGGAGCTCTTTGCCTTGGTAAGAAGCCCGGCAGGGCGTCCCTGGCGGCACGGACCGAGCAAGCGTATGCCGAGGAAGCTGGGCCCATAAACGCTCTCCTCTCTTGCCAGGCCCGCCGCAAAAGGGCAGGGATGTGACAGGAGCAACACGTCACCTTTATTTAGCAATGTTCTCTTTTTTATTTCCAGTTTACGGTGAAAAGATGCTTTTGAATCTTCAATTAAATACTCCATAAAGAAAAAAAAAAGAAAAATATTTACAAATTCACGTGACCGGTAATTCAATCCTCTTTTCATTTTTGTTTGTTCCCCACCTTTGTAATTACAAGCGCAACTCCTTTAACCATCCGGCACCGATGAAGCGGATCACACAACCGTGGCCTCAGCGTGGGCGTGGAGGGAAGGGAGTGTCTGGTGGGGTTAAGCGGGGGGGGGGGGGGCTCAGCACTAGGGGAACCCCAGAACGACTCACCCATCCCTCAGCCAGCACCACTCCAACGCCCAAGCAAGGTGGATGTTTGAAGTGTTTCTCTCTCTCTCTCTCTCTCTCTCTCATTCTCACTCTCTCTCTCGCTCTCAAAAAATAAAAACAACATCCATCAAGAGGCTTTGCGTATTTCCAGGCAGTGATCCAAGGGGTGAGGGGTGAAGATGTGGGGAACAGGAGGGCAAAGTTTGCGGACAGCAAAGTCCTATCCTCTCAAAAGATTTAATAAGTCTATATTTATATTTTATATATATATTTATATAATCTCTCTATATTTCAGCAATAACTGGGAGGGGAGAGGAAGGGAGTGGAGGCAGTGTGCTCCCCACCCCCTTCTGCAGACACGTGTTCCAGGTGCTTTGCACCTGCCAGAGATGGGTCCCCGCTCGTTAAAAGCATCCGGGCACCCGGGGCTTTGGCCGGGGGGCTGAGTGGAGCGCCCACAGCAACACCTACCTCCTTCAGCATCAATTTATTATCGTCAGACACAAACCAGTACAGGCTGTTAAAGCAAAAAACAAAAATCCCAACCAAAAAAAGGAAAGGAAAAAAAAGGAAAAAGAAAAAGAAAAAAGAAGTCCGGGGGGCAGATGTGGACGGTGGTACTCAAAGTCCTGCACAGCCTTTCCCACCCACCCCCCAACGGAGTCCAGGGCTCTGGGGAGGGTCAGAGTGGCCACGCAGGCTCAGGCCACCCCCTCCCCACGCGGGAGCTCAGTTTTTGTCCGACTCGTCCTCAGCTTCGCGCAACCAATTGTAAAAGCCCGTCACGGACTTGAGGGCGACCCCCTTCCCTTGCTGCTCGGCCGTGTCCTTGCTGGACTCCCACTTGTAGAAGGCTTCCTCTTTGACCACATCTTCGTCGTACAAGGCATCGAAGAATGTCCGGAGAAGATCTGCAGGAGGGGGGGAGGAGAGGGAGCGTCACACGCCTGCAAAACGCAGCTGCCCCCGCCTGCCCTCCTCTGCCTGCTGCCCCCGGGGCTTCCCCTGGGCTGGCTGCACAGGGGAGGCTCAGAGAGCAACTGGTTCCTGGGCCCGAGCAAAGCACCCTTGAGGGCCCCGCTCCATTCGCGAGGCCAGCTTCTCGGCACCACCTGCTCGTGCGCCTCATCTCTTCCCCGCCACTGCTACCGCTGGCTTGCGTGGCAGGCAGAGGGGTGCTCCCCCAGCCCCACATCCTGCAACCCCTGCCCGGGTCGGAGGGGGAGGCGGATGAAGCAGGAGGGCGCCACAGCTGGGGGGCAGGGGCTGCCAGTGGGCGTCTGAGGGGGGCAGGCCCTTGACAGGTGCCCAGCCATGTTGTCTGTCGCCCAAGGACTGATTGGACCGGAGGGAGCCGCTTCCTATTCTCTGCCATTCTTGTCTTTGGATATTATACCTATTTAGATCCTTGTTCCCTACCCTGAAATGACTTCTTCCCATTCAGAGCAGCTTTCAGAGGCACCAAAAAAGAGGCAAGTATTTCCGAAAAGTCCCAGAATCATTAGTACAGACGTAACTTTCCCATAATGCAAGAACCCAAAGGGGTAAACACCGCACAAAGCTGATGGGTGGGAGACTTGGGCCGGAGAAAAGGAAGTTGTGTGTGCTTCTTCACACAACTTAATAGTTAAGCTATGGAATTTGCTGCCACAGGAAGCGGCAACGGACACCGGCTCGGGTGCCTTTCAAAGGGGACCAGACAGATTCATGGCAGAGGCAGCGACCCACAGCCACCTGCTGGTCCTGCTGCTGTCAATGTGCCACCTCCATCCTCAGAGACAGGCCACCTGTGTATGCCAGCTGCTGGGGAACATGGGTGGGAGGGTGCTGCTGCTTGTGGCTTCCCCCCAGCCCGCTCTTTGGCCACAGGAAGCCAGACCAGACGGCCCTTGGTCCAATCCATTTTCAGGACTCCTCGTGTACTTAAACTTGATGCTTCGTATGCCAGTCCCTTTTCTGGGCAGCAGCTCTTCTGTCCCAGTGGAAATGCTGTGTCAGCAAACTTCCCACTGGGGATTCTGAAATCGGAAGCCCCAAGACCTGTCTCTACCAGGGACCAGGGCCAGCTGTGTCCACCTCCCACTGCCAAGCAAGACGTGGGCCTCTCCGGTAGCAACAGCTTTTCTCAGAATTTGTTCAGCACGTCTGAAACACCTCCGCGTTAGGGAATTCTTTCGTCTCTTCAGAGGACAAATCTATCAGTGTAACCGTATCAGATGTGCCCATCAAATTACATTATCTCGATGCCTTGGAAGTGTATAATTAAATTACCTAGATCATTCCGTATCAGATTCTGCCTCATTAGTGGCCAAAGTTTTGAGAAGCCTCTTCCTGAGGGAGGTCTGTCTCTGATGTGCAGGTTTCAGCCTTGGTCATTTCAGGTGGCTTCCAATCACAGAGAGGAAGTGGGTGGGAAAACTGTGGGAGTTGTGAATCAAGAGCCCAGGGGAGGCATCTGGCACCATAATTCCACGTTTCCCCTGGGGAAAACAGGGCTGCCAGCTCCAATACCAGCTACCTTCCTTTCCCCCTGGAGAAAATCTTTATGATTCAAGCTCCAGTCTCAAAGGGGAGCAAGGAGTATATTGACCGCAGCACAACATACGTGAGCTCTCTTGGGCACTCTGGGAGCACCTACTTGTGACTGGCTCATCCTCCCCTGCCCTGATGGATCCCTATGGATCTGTTTGTAGACACAGAGCCTCGCTTTGCCCAACTGGGCTTCCCCAGCACAGAATGGCCCCAGAATTTTGCCCCCAATCAACCCGCTGCCGCACTTCCAGGTGTGGCAAGGTGTGCCACAGCTCACTTCCTGGGCGGGACACGTACTTGCCGGCTGGTCCAGCTTCACAACGAGGGCCTGCAAGGCATAGAGGGCCTGCAGCTCCTTATCTTCATCACTCAGGTACTTCTGCAGCAGCTTGGCCCGACTCTTGATCACAGGGTTGTCCATCTGGTACGGGTTCTCACCTGCGGGAGAGGGGGAAGAGGAAGACAGCCCTCTGTAAGTACCTGGAAGGCTGCCGCAAAGAGGAAGGTCAAGATCTCTTCTTGCTGATACCAGAGTGTAGGGCACAGAATAATCAATTCACATTCTGACAACCCAGGTTCAGGCTGCACATCAGGAAAAGTTTCCTCACTGTCGGAGCAAGACGACAGTGGAACCAGCTGCCTGGAGAGGCGGTGGGCGCTCCCACACCGGAGACATTCAAGGAGGAACTGGACACCCATCTGAATGGGATGGTGTAACGTGGTGTCCTGCACTAGCAGGCGGTTGGACTCGATGGCCTTCATGGCCCTTCCAACTCCACTGTTTTATAATTCTAAGGGGGTGGGGCAGGCAGGATGCTGCTGAGCAAACAACAGGCCCTGCAGCTGTAACAACCTTCACGTCCTGCCAGTTGCCAAGCTTAAATCCAGGAAAAGGATTCCAGAGGCTGCTGCTCTCACTGTGGGTCTCCTCTCTCGACCGCTGGCCCAAAGCAGCTGCCTCTGGCTCCACCCCATGTCACAGGATCTATGAAAGCCACTTCCTTTATGCCAGGGAAGGGGACGCGGAATGGCAATGTGCAGGACTCCAGACCTTGCTGGACCACAATTCCCTTCAGTCCTCACCAGGGCTGATGGGAGCTGCAGCCCAACGCCATGGGGAGGCCCAGATGTCTCCCTCCCCCGCAGGCAGTCAATGCCCATGAGAGGTAAAGGACATGAAGATGGGCTTCAACGGCAAAGTCCTGGGCTTGGACACCTGTTCGACCTGGAAGCACACAGGCGACCCAGTCCTCTAACCCTAACCCCAGCCCACTATACCAGGCGGTTGAAAGCATAAATTGGGGGTCAGAGGGAAACAGCGTGGCAGTTCTTCCTCAACCCAGAGCACAGCTTTTTGTAAGGGACACCAGCTACTGTCTTGTCTCAGCCCCCCAGCTGCTTAGCATGCTGCCCTTCACTCTGTCTACCCCCAGACAAGGAAAGGACCATTGCAGAACCCCCGAACAACGCAGAACTGCTTTTGGTTTAGAGGGCCAGAACTATATAATCTCTGCTGTCAGCAGGCAGATCAGCAGCTCATCTGAGCTCTGAGGCACAAAATACCCACAATGCAACATTCCCCTTAGAGCTGACCGCCCCCCCACACACACACAAAGCCCTCTGCAAATGGTGCTTACAGACAACAGCTGAATGGCACACCGATGTCATCAGGGCCCTGACGAACATATTTGACGAGATCTGCTGATCGCTTAGGTTGGCCTGGTGGAAGAGAAGGTCCTAAGAAGCGGTGGTCAGAACTGTCCCCTTGCTGGCCTCAGGAGCAGCCTGGGAACGTGTTCTGAGCACAGCCAGGACTCTGCCCACAGAAGGGAGCACCGTTCCATTCACCCCACCTTCACCCCACCCCACCATTCACCCCGCCCCACTGATGCCCTCCACAGGGATGCTTCCTGTTAACTGTGAGAGCCTCCAGGGTGGGAGAGGCACCCAGGTTTTTCCAGCTGCACTGCAACCACCAGGGAAGGGAAGGGCCCTGTCCCGAGCGAAGTGCTGGAGGGAGGGGTACCCTGCTCAAGTTCAGACCCATCACGACATGCCCAGAGAAACCGTTTCCCAGAGGGACTGCCTTCCTCCCTGCTAGATTACAGCAAGATGGAAGCATCTCTCCACTCGTTACAGGAAGGTGCCACGTGAAAGCTGGTGTGCCGCAGAGGTTATGGGTTAGAATGCTCAGAAGATCAGGGTTCTAGTCCCCACTTGGCCATGAAAGCTCACCAGGTAACTCTTGGCTGAGCCTATCTCACAGGGCAGTTGTTGTGAGGATAAAATGGAGAGGGGGAGAGTTATATACATGGTTTCCTCCCAGAAAATGCTCGGATATAAGTTTCATAAATAAAGATGAGTAAACTTCAAGCTACCCACCCCTGGAGCTCCTAATTTATTCATTTATGTATTTATGTACATATTTATATGCTGCCTATAACTGCCTAAAGGCCTTCCTAATCCCACAGGTGCAGACAGCAGCAGCCTGTCCGGCAACCCCGGCTGACAGGGAAACCAGGTGCCGGCAGCTGCACCTGAAGAACATGTTCCTCTGCCCCGGGGATCCCTCCATAAATTGCCGACTCCGCTGCGGGAGTGTGAGATGGGCTGAGGCCAGGAGAACCCACCCTGTCCCCATGAGCGCTGGGCCCCTCTTCGGGGCTTTCCACACTCCCCCAGATCCAGCCCGCTCGGCCTACCTGGCCCACGTGGCAGTGGGGGAACCCCTCACCTCGATCCAGTCGTATATTCTTTGGTTATCCTCGTTCTCTTTCAGTAGCTTGTCCAGCTGCTTGCACAGCTCTTCGGAGGTGAGCTCCTTGCGGCTCGGCGCATCTGAGCTGTCGCCCATCGTGTACTCCACTTTCTGAAAGCCCGGTAGAAGGGGCGGGGGGAGCACTCATCAGGCCTGCAGCCATGGCTGCACACCCCACGCCCACAGGAACAGGCAGTGTGTGGTCAGGCGAGGGCGCTCTGCACCCAAGCGGCGACCAGTGAGAAGCTGGCCCGGGCTTACCTGCTCTGTGATGAACTTATTGATGTCCTGGTCCTCCGGCAAGAACTCCTTCCAGCTCAGCCCTCCTTCTCTCCACAGTGACCCTGCCTTCTTGTGGCTCTGCAGAGAAGGGGAACCATCTCAGGACCACTCCACAAGCCACGTGCAAACCCGCTCAGCTACCGACCTCACACTCAGGGAGCCGACGCCTCTCCGGCGCTGACACTGGTGGGTCACTTTCCTGCCCTTGCATTATTTAGGATGCATGTCAAGCACTGTGAGCAAACAGCCTAAAACATGGAAAGCGTGGGTCCATCTGTTGCTGCCGACAGGACTGGGCAGCCGGCACCCTCCAGAAGCACGAGTTCCCTCAGGCCACGGCCGCTTCCTGCTGGTCTGAGAGGCGGGAGGCCTCTGTCTGCGGAAGAGGCCCCTCCTGGAACAGCTCTCCCTTTGAGCCTGATGCTTCCCGTCCGCCGCCTCCAGACACGCAGGTGGGCTAGCGGATGGGGCCGGAGCGAAGGCCAGTGAGGCCAGCAGGCAAGGCGAGCCAGGAAGCAGGGTGGAGCCGGGATGCCGCAGCCCCGGCCCACCAGACCCCCGGGAGGGGCAACTCACCATCCCTTTGCACAGCAGGCCCAGGATCTCCAGCAGCAAATTGGTGGCCTTGCCCATAGGCACCAGGGGCTTGGCGATCTCCCTGGGAAAAAGCACAGCAGGCAGGTGACGCCTCTGCAGCGAGGAGCAGCAGCAGCACAGGAGTGGGGCCCCGGCTCACCTGAACAGCTCCTCCATGGGGATGCCGCCCTCTCTCAGGACAGGGGTTATGATGTCCGCCAGGTACAGCCATATGTGCGGAATATCGATCTCCATGTCCTCGCCGATCTCCAGGATCTCGAGCAGCCTACGGGAGAAGAGGGGGCACATCAGGGTTCCACAGCAGGGAGACAAGGCCAGCGCAGGGGCTCCGGGCCCCGCCACTACCAGGCCCCAGCAGGGCTGCCTTACCCTTTGTAGTACTGTTCCTTGGGGAGGCTTCCTCCCTTGACCAGCTGGTAGAGCAGCAGCCCCATGTGCTCTCGGGCGATGGTGCTCCGCTCCAGCGTGGACTCGATGCCGTTCCGTACGAAGACGTAGAGCTGGGAGGGGCAGTTCAGCTCCTGCACGCACTGCAGCGCCTCCTGCAACAAGCGGGTTGAGAGGGGGCATGCTCAGCACCAAGGTACGCCCAGGCCCATCTGCCGACCGTCGACACGCGAGGGTCAGAAGGCGGCCTGGCCAAGAGCCAAGGGCAGCAGATCTCCAAAGGGGCACTGCTCCCCCAAGGCCGGGTGGGACGCCTGCTGCGGCCCGCGGCCCAGGTTCGATTTCGGGGGCGCTCTCGGGGGCTGCAGGGCTGAGGGCAAAGCAGGATGGTGCCAAAGGCAGGACAGGTGCAACCAGAAACACCAAGCTACATATCGTAGTTTAAAGCTCCTTCTGTCAGTCAACTGCCCTTAGAAAAGTTAGTTCAGCTTTGCGAATGTGTAAAAAACTACACAAACGCTGGAAAACCACGGTCTGACTGGTGATTTGGGGGAAGGGAGTGGGGACAGAAAGAGGGGCATGGCCTTTTGGGGACTGCAGCTCCAGAAAGGCTGCATCTGGCCCTTGGGGCTGAGGTGCTCCACCCTGGCCTACAAGGCTTCCATACAGAATGCAGGGTAACTTAAGGAAGGTCAAGCTCAGCATCCCTTTTTACATGTGAATGAATACACCACAAGGGCTCTCCAGCTACTGGTCATCCGCCTCCCTCTGTCTAGTTGGTGGATCAGCTGATCAACACACTAGCCTGGTCTGCCTGGACAGTCTAGTTTATATATATTTTTCAACAAAGTATTTTAAAATATAGATACACATTACAGTCACATAATATTGACAATAAAACAATGAAAGTAATCCATTAGTAAATGCTCTTTTTCCATGCTATTAAAACCTACTAGTCTGGAAATACAGGTGATCAGCTGAAGGTCACTTGCTCCCTTAGACCCTCGGAAACCGTTCAGGAATGGATACCAAATTCTACCAAAATCATTGTTCTTTATTTCCCCTCCAGCCAAAGAGAAGTGAGTGCTCAGCTTTTCCATCAAAGCCACTGCCCATATTCTATCAAGGTTTTTCCTAAAGATGCCCTGTGGTATTTTACAAAATTTTACAATCTCAGCTCTTGCAGCTCCCAAAAATATTGCCAAAAATTCTTTACAATTCAGTCCTTCATTTCTCCCAGTAAACAACGAAAAAAGTAACGGAGTTTCATCAGGAATGATTGACTGTTGTGTTAGTTTATTCTACGACCCTCTTATTTCATGCCAACAAGATTTGACTTTTGGGTAGAATAACCACACATGCTCTTAAACCAGAGTTTCTCCTCCACTGTCTGCTAGCTGATTATTAATCAACAGAGTCTAGTTAATGGGCCACAGTGGTATGTCACACACACAATTATCTTTTCCAGGCACACTTGGTGTCATCCGACTCAGCTTGCTGAGCCAGTAACAGTGACAGCCTCTTCTGGATGGTTTGTTAACCAATCCGATAAGCCACCCTTGCTCGGTCTGGGTGACGGGAGAAGCTGCACTGGGAGGAGTTTCAACAGGCAACCTGGAACCACAACTCACTGCGGCTCATCGTTTGTGGCTGCCTGTGCTCGCCAGGCCTCCGATTACATTATGGGAAGGGTGAGGGGAAAATTGAAATTGGTGGGACTGAGAATCTAGTGCAGCTCAAGCACTCCCCCAGCCGCTGCTCTGTAATCGCAGAAGGACATGAAAGGAGAACGTCCAATGAGGTATCGAGACTTTAATAATTTGCACCGATGTGCTGCTAAAGCTCTCTCAAGGTCTGGCTGTAGGATTACCCCGCCCACCGCAGGGGGTTCTGGAGAGTGCCTCCGGGCCTGCTCATACACGGCACCCCGCCGTGCCCCAGCGACAGACGCCGGAAGAGATGATCAGGAGAGGAAGACGGAAAGATCGTCAGACACTGTGTCTCCTGTCAGCCACCTTCTCGTCAAGGGACAGGTGCCAAATTTCCCAGGAGTCACTTTAACTCAATAATATGCCCGCCTTTCCTCCAAAAATGATTCAACTAAACAGTGATTCTGCAGCTAAGGGCACAAGCCTGTGTGTTTTGTTGTTGTTGTTGTTGTTGTTGTTGTGAGTCGCGAACTCACGTCCGACCCATCGCGACCCCATGGACAACACTCCTCCAGGCCTTCCTGTCCTCCACCATCCCCCGGAGTCCACCTAAGCTCACACCAACTGCTTCAGTGACCCCATCCAGCCACCTCATCCTCTGCCGCCCCCTTCTTCTTTTGCCATCTATTGGTCCCAGCATTAGACTCTTCTCCAGGGAGTCCTTCCTTCTCATTAGGTGGCCTAAGTATTTGAGCTTCATCTTCAGTATCTGGCCTTCCAAAGAGCAGGCAGGGTTGATCTCCTCTAGGACTGACCGGTTTGATTGCCTTGCGGTCCAGGGGACTCGCAGGAGTCTCCTCCAGCACCACAATTCAAAGGCCTCAATCCTTTGGCACTCAGCCTTCCTTATGGTTCAGCTTTCACAGCCATACATTGCAACTGGGAAAACCATAGCCTTGACC